TACTCCTTTCATAATCTGATCATCATTCATATCCTTCTTCTTTGTGAATATTAATGTGAAATACTCATGAAAGGTCTCTTCTACTTCTTCTGGCTCCACACAAATTCCTCCTTTGTCCTCAAGTAGACCAACCCTAGTTAGCCTCTTGCTCCCAATAAGTGTATAAAAATGCCTTGGGATTCTCCTTAATCCAATTGCCAAGGACAAGTCATGGCCCTTCTATCCCTCCTAATTGCTTGTCTAAGTTCTTTTCTGCTTCCTTTACGTTCAAGGGCCTTGTTTGTTTTCAGTTTCCTAAACCTTGCATATACTTCCTTTTTCTTTTTTGACTAATCTTTCAATATCAGATCATCCAAAGTTGTTAAATCTTGTCATTCACTTACTTCCTCTGGGTCATCAATATACGTTGTAAACCATTGAGGTATCAGCACTGATCCCTGTGGAACCCAACTGGTAACAGGTAACCAACTTGGAAAATAACCCCTCATCCCCACTCAGTGTCCTCTCGTTAGCCAATTCTCTGTCCATGCCAAAAAACAACCTCCAACACCATGGGCTCTTATCCTACGACTCAACTTTTCTTGAAGTACTTGTTGAATGGAACACCTTCTGAAAATCCAAATACAGCTACTGGTTTTCCTCTATGCACTCTGGTTGAGACTTACTCAAAAATTTCTAATAAATTCGTCAAACATGATTTCCCTTCCATGAAGTCATGCTGACTCTGCTTGATTAGATTACAATTTTCCAAATGTTCCACTATTACTTTCTTAATAATTGATCGCAATACTTTTTCAATAGATATGAGGCTAATAGACCTTTAGTTTTCCACTTTTTGAATAGAGGTGTCACATTAGCAGTTTTCGAATCCTCTGGTACTTTTCCTGAATCAAAGGATTTTTGGAAAATTGCAACCAAGTAATCCACTATCTCTGTAGCTACTTCTTTTAGAGTTGAGGATGTTCAAGTCAAAGACAAGAATCTTATTTGAAGCACTTTCCAAAATGTTCTCACCTGTCAGTAGCAATTGCCTCTCTTTGTTGATGAATTATCTTCGATGCCTGCCTCTCAGCAAGATAAACCATATGAAGTGCTTAGACCGTGGCAGTCTTGATAGCAATGAAGAAGCCATGAATGCTGTTGTATCTGAGAAATGTTGGATCTCCTACAGTTTTCCTACCCACCATTTGTTTTTTTTTAAATCCTGCAGGCTTTATGCTATACCATGCCTTTAGGTGCCTGGAAAACTGCTGCCTTTCCCTCGAGACATGGTGAAGTTTTCAGTCTGTCTTATGGTTAGTGAAGTTACAGATTATACAGAGTCAGGTATAGTTTATAAAGTGAAACGAAATAACTTTCTACATTGCAATTCAAGGGCTCGCTTCAGAGTCCCACTCAAAGATTCAGAGATACTATTCTAAAAATGTATCTCTTCAATGAATATTGTGCTGCTCAAGGAAAATACTCAATAACAGGTACTTCTGCCATTCACTATCAGCATCAGGAGGAATAGAAGGATAGAAACAAGTGATGTACTAAGAAGGTGGCTCAGAATCTAGCAGTGTAATCTTTGCATTTTCATTCACTTTTATGTTCTGTTTTCTGATTTATTGTGCAACAAGGAACTGGACTGTTTGCAATAACCATATTACTTAGAGTCGATGTCATATTGAAAGATAACTTTTTAAAAGTACTCCAGGTACCAAAAAATACAGATTATAAACTTATTTTTAATGAATGTTTCCAAAATCAAAAAAAAAGCTGAAACATTTGATTTCACTTTCTTCAAAAGGTCATGCATCTTTGACAAAACACTCAAAGGAATGCAAAGATACCAAGAACTGCAGATGTTGGAGTCCAAGTCAACACAGTGTGGAGCTGGAGGAACACACTGGGTCAGGCAGCATCAGATGAGTAGGAAAGTCGATGTTTCTGGTCAGGACCCTTCTTCAGAACTGCCAAGTTTTGTGTACTTTAGTGGAGAAAAAGCATTGGTTGAGGGCATGGATCCTGCGCAGAATGAAGAACAGAAGAGGTCCCTTGCAGGTCTGGGAGAGAGACTCTGAGCTGGGGTAAGGTTGGCTGTTGTGCGAGGAGATGCCAGTGCATGGCTGTGAGCATGGAGCTAAGGATCCGCAGAGAAAACCATTTTTGGAAGCTCTGGATGTACTACAGGCAGCGGTTGTGGTGGTTTGGGTCAAATTGGGATGGTCTGAATGTTGTTTGGAGTCCATTGGGGATAATCCGGCTGCAGAGGCAGTACTGAGTAAGGAGATGTGGCTGTACTACTGGGTGTAGTTAAGTATGTGTTTGAAGAGCTTCAGGGTGAAGATTACCAGAGGCTTGCAGCGGGAGAGAGATCCACTGAGGTGATTTTGGAGGGAGGAGGGCAACTTCTTCGAGGTGGGCATCCTTGGAAGAGGCTTCGCAGTTGGGTTATAAGTCACTCAAAGATACCAAGAACTGCAAATGCAGTGTGGATCTGGAGGAACACAGCAGGTCAGGCAGAATCATAGGAGTAGGAAAGTGAAGAAGCGTCCTGACCCGAAACGTCGACTTTTCTACTCCTCTGATGCTGCCTGACCTGTGTTCCTCCAGCTCCACACTGTGTTGACACAGAATGAAATGTCTGTTGCTTTGAATTAACTACTTTAAAATTATACTTTCAAAATAATCAGAAGCAGTCTTGGAGCAAAAACCGAGAATGCAAGATCTTCTTGAATTTCAAAAAAGTAAATGGTTTGAGCAGTACATTCAATTCATAAATGATTCCAAGCTATTGGATGGCAGGGGAAATTACAATCACTGCAAATAGATTAGTATAGCTAAGAGACAAGTATTTTAATCAAGAACAGTTCTTGCTATTTTGCCTTCCTTCAAGAAACATCAAGTTGGAGATCACTAGGCTTTTGAAAATGAACATTTGTTAGCAACTAAACTGTTATGAATTATTTTCAATGACTACATACTGCAATTAATGCTAAGAACACCAAGTTTCAGTCTTGATTTTTTAATGCAATTATACCTTAATTTACCATAAGATTTACAAGGCCCTGATTAAACAAAACAGTATGTAGGAGATAACTAATTAGAGATAGTATAAGCAAATAAGACCATAAAGTATTATGCAAAGACGGCTATACAAGCACAATCTGCTTTATATTTGTGCAATATTTCAGACCCATTCCCAAAACTGGATTAGAAGAAAAAAAACAAGATATTTCTAATAAGCAGTTTGTACTAAATATGTTTACGCAAAAAAAAATCAGATTTTGCTATGTTACTCCTAGTGTTTGCCATTCTGAAAATAGTTACATTTAGTGCAATCTTAAGATTTTAACAGTACATCTTAATTAGCATTTACCTCAATAATATTCCAAAGTATGCAGTAGATTAAGTATTGAGGTAATTTAAAAAATTAACCACAACATAAGAATCTTAAACACACAATGCGTCTTATTGCTGGTAGAATTGCTGTGGAGGGTAAGGATATCCTGGCTGCTGAGGTGGCTGAGGGCTTTGGAAAGGTGGCTGCCCAGGAGGCTGGTACATGTATGGCACGTTGTACTGACCGTAAGCGTACTGGTTATATGCCATTGGCATAGGCATTGGGTAGTACCTGAAAAATGAAACATGCAAACATAAGAACAAGAATCAATTACATCCAATCAAGCTCAATGTTCTTTTCTATGTCAATGCAAAGTCATATCAGCAGAGTTAGTCACCTCCAAATATGCTGCTCTGAACTCTGACCAAAGCATACTTATGAAGGTAGCACGTAAAAATGTGACCTAACTACTGATGTACACAAAATCAGAATAAAATTATATTAAGTTACCTCAATGTCAGAATTTACTTTTGTCATTGATTCAAAGAGTAAAATCTTGAACAACTAAAGGATTAATTTTTTTTAAAAGAAGAAATTTTTCACTACTTCTTTTCTGTGCATTTTTGCTGGCTTCTGTTGCATTATACATTATGTTAATATCTATTAGCATTGCTACAACTCAGTCCATATAGCTAAACAACCTATATTCCCAAATACAGGTCAAAAATAGCTCTAAGCAATTTAATGAGAGAGAGGAGGGAAGAGCAAAATATGAGAAGTTAAGGAACAAGATTAATTACACTTTATTGTAGATTTCCAGATCATGTGTTTTGAAAGCAGGAATAGACAAAATTTCATTCGTTAGTACAATATTCAAATTTCACTTCATCTGCTGACTTCATTTCATTTCAACTGTACATGTCCAAGCCAACATCTGATTAAGCATTATTACACAAAAAAGATTCAGCAAAAAATCTCAAATATTGATTTACATTGTAATTACTGGATCTTTTATTGTTATACTCTGCAACATCTGGCTTTTTTAATGGCCACCGTTGGTTTGAGCTAGTGTGCTGCAAAAACAGTGTATATTACTTTTTATACCTCTACTCCCAAGACACATAAATGCACTGTATCAAAAATGTACTGTATTAAATGCACTGTGGGAAGACACAGTGGCTTAGCACTGCTGCCTCACAGCACCAGGAACCCACGGGCTGATTCCAGCCATGGGCAACTATGTGGAGTTTGCACATTCTCCCAGTGTCTGCATGGGATTCTTCCAGATTCCTCCCACAGTCCAAAGACATACAGGTTATATGGATCGGCAATGCTAAATTGCCAACAATATCCATGGATGTGCAGGCTAGATGGATTAGTCATGGGAAATGTAGGGTTACAGAGATAGGGTAGGGGAGTGGGTCTGGATGAGATGCTCTTTGGAGGATTGGTGTGGAATCGATGGGCTGGATGGCCTGCTTCAACAGAGATTCGATGAAAAAGGCAGTCAGAAGATAAATTTTTCCAAAGCTAGCCCACAGCATTACATTAGTACTATTTTAATGATTATGTTATATCACGGGTCCATGTCTTTCTGAAAGTAGTTTGCTAATAAGTGACTGATCTTCTGATTGATAGACTGAAATGCTCTTTTTTAATTCCTCAATCAATTAGTAGACTTAAATAATTGCTAACAGTTTTAAATGACTTTTTAAAAAATCTGATTCGATCTGTGAAGATAGGCCAACATTTTGGGGATGCATTTAAAATCACACCATGACAGCTGGTGGAATCTGAATTGATTTTCTTTTGTGAAAGCTCGTTTTAGTAAACATGACCAAGAAATAATCAACGATGGTCATAATGACCCATTTGATTTGAAATGGTCTTTAGGGAAAGAACGAATCTTCCATCCATACCTGGTCTAGCCTTCATGTGACTCCAGATTCATATTAATGATGCTGATTCCTAACCTCCCTCTGAAGTGTCCTAGCAAGCCACTCAGTTCAAAAGCAATTCAGGATTGTTAACCAATGCTGAACTTGCCAGTGATGGCCACATCGATGAAAGAAAAAAAGGAAAATACTGGATTCCTTTGGCCTACAAGATGCTTCTTTTGACAGAATGCATTACTTTGTGAATACATTACAAGTGCAGGGTGGCAGGGCAGCACAGTGGCTCAGTGGCTAGTACTGCTGCCTCACAGTGCCAGGAACCCAGGTTCGATTCCACCCTCGGGCGACTGTCTGTGTGGAGTTTGTACATTCTCCCCGTGTCTGCGTGGGTTTCCTCCCACAGTCCAAAGATGTGCAGGCTAGGTGGATTGGCCATGTTAAATTACCCATAGTGTTCAGGGATGTGTAGATTAGGTGGGTTATAGCCGGATGGGTCTGGGTGGGATACTCTGAGGGTCGGTGTGGGCAGGCTGGGCCGAAGGGTCTGTTTCCACACTGTAGGGATTCTATGATTACAGTAAATGTGATCCACAGAACATTAAGTGATTTAGGATGGCCTGGGGCTAGAAAGCTGGATGCGATTATTATAAAATAATACTCACGAATCAGGTGTCAGGTGTCAGTTTTGTATAAAGGTTAAATTTAATTAACTTCTCCCTTCATTTATAATTGATATAAATACCAATGGTGAGATGATGTAGGACCAGAACTCTCCACAGATATAACCCGATTTCAGTCATTCTCGAGAAGGCCCATTGAAATCGGAGACAAAAATTATACTGAACATTTAATGATGCACACCAATGTGTTTCTTATCCAATTCAATATCTATGACATGGTAAAAGCTGTTGAAACACAATGGGTCTGGGTGGAATGCTCTTTGGAGGGTCAGTGAGCTGAATGGCCTCTTTCTGAAATGCAGGGATTCTATGCTGTCCAGCAAAATTTGCTTATCTCATTTTTGATGCATCATTTTACATGCACGTGTTTTAAAATTCAGATCCTGTCAGTTCAATTTTTCTCCTGCATCAGACATTGCCCCTGTTGGATTCCCATGCAATTGCAGGCACATACTTGTCTACACGGACTTCAGCAAGACTTTTGGGAAGGTTTGCATGGTAGACTGGTTAGTGAGGTTAGATCACATGGGATACAGGGAGAACCAGCCAACTGGATACAAAACTGGCTGCACAGTAGGAGACTGGTGGTGGCTATTGTTCAGACTGGAGGCCTGCGACCACGGTGTGCCGCAAAAAAAAAATACTGGGTCAACTGTTGCTCGTCATTTATTTAAACTATTTGGATGTGAATATAGGAGGCACGGTTAGTAAATTTGCAGATGATACCAAAATTGGTGGTATAGTGGACAGTGAAGAAGGTAATCAACGAGTACAATAGGATCTTGATGAACTGGGCTAGTGGTACTAAGAATGGCAGTTGGGAGTTTAATTTCGATAAATGCAAGATATTGCATTTAGGTAAGACAGACCAGGGCAGGTCTTACACAGTTAATGACAGGGCCCTGGGGAATGTTGTTGAACAGAGGGGTGCAAGTGCATAGTTCCTTAAATGGCTTCACAGGTAGACAGGGTGGTGAAAGCGGTGGACATCAGTCAGAACATTGAGTACAGGAGTTGGAATGTCACGTTATGACTGTGTAAGTCATATAAGCTATTGGTGAGGCCACATTTGGAGAACTGCATGCAATTCTGGGCACCTTGCGAAAGGATGTTGCTAAACTGGAAAGGGTGCAGAAAAGATTTACAAGGATGTTACCAAGACTGGAGGGCTTGGGTTATACGGAGAGGCAGGATAGGCTGGGATATTTTTCCTTGGAGTGTAGGAGGCTGAGGGGTGGCCTTACAGAGGCTTGAAAAATCATGAGCGGCATAGATAAGCTGAATAGGCAAGGTCTTTTCTCCAGGATAGGGGAGTCGAAAATTAGAGGACATAGGTTTGAGGGGAGATGGGAAAGATTTAAAACGGACCTGAGGGGCAACATTTTCACAGTGTGGTGTAAATATGGAACAAGCTGCCAGGCGAAGTAGTAGAGAGGAGTACAATTACAAAATTTAAAAGACATTTGGACAGATACATGGATAGGAAAATGTTTAGAGGGTTATGAGCCAAATATGCATAAAAATGGGACTAGTTCAATTTAGGAAACTTGGTCAGCATGGGATGAGGGGTCTATTTCCATGCTGTATGACTCTATGAATATCAAATGAACAGGCTGCAAATGGTTAGATAAAATACATAACCTCCCAATGAACCAGTTTAAGTTTCCAAATTAAAATTCTGTCCAATTCTTTTTTGGGTGGCAAAATGTGAGAATATACATCACATCAAATGATGCAGGGAAACCAAAGACACTCACATACAAATTAGGTAGCATTTATTCATCAAACTTTGCAACCGGTTCTTAGCCCTTAAGCATATTTGGCAGTAATAGTTTTGCACCAGAATAGGGATGCTTCTAAATCCAAATCTAGCAATTTCAAGTAGCTCAGAAAGAGTACTTAAGTGCCATAAATTGGAATTGTTAGAACTTCAAATGCAGACACCAAGTCGCCTACTTTTCTTTCACCAAGAATTAGGAACAGCATTTCAAGAGAAGTCTAGAAGAATTAAACTAAAACAAAAAACTTGTACTTTTTCCTATCGTGTAATTATTTCATTCCAAACAAACAATGGTTTACACTTAGATTGACAATACTAAAACTCAGTCAAGACCTACCCAGGAAATCCTTGATAGGTAGGATACGGCGGTCCCTGGGCCTGTGATAGCACACCACTGGCCCCAACAGATGCAGGCACAGAAGCAACTGAAGCAGGAGCAGGAGCAGGGGCATTTGTCATTGTAGGAGTTGCAGCTGATGAAGCAGGTGTAAAACTGGATCCAACGGATGGAGGTGGGGGTCGTGCAGGAGGTTGAGGTTTAGGTTGCTGTAAACAAAAAGAGGGCTTAAAAATGAGACTGAAGAAAAATAAAGCCAATTTATAATACAATTTGTTGCTGACCAAATACAAATGTACTTAAATACAAATTCAAAAGAATATTGGCAGTAAACCACAATTCTAACAATGTTCACCAACAATTATTTTCCATAAACATATCTACACCACCACCCATAATAAAGGTAGTTCCAGCAGTGTGGTCCAACTCTGTTACAATAAATTATTTCAGGAGCCTAATGTCACAGGTACCTGATGTAATTTGGAGAGATAAGGCATTCATAATTCTTTTAGTATTAGTCATCGAGTAGTTGTTGTTCTGTTCTGGCAATAATTTAAGAAACTTATATTGCACTGTTTATGCATGCAAATCAAACAGCTACAATATTAACATGACTTTTGGTATAAAAGCATCAACAGTAAAGTAGCAAAGTTGGACACTAGTATGCATTCTCATATTTCAAAGATTTCCTTTGTGGACTACCTACTACAAAATCAAACCTGTTAACACCATGCACACAGGAGAATGGTTAGACCAATGGACAAAAAAATTGCAGTATTTGACATTAATTATTGGGTACTTTTGTTGTGTTTGTGGAGTAATAATGTATTAGAGCCCATGGAACAGTCTCAATTAACTTGTATTAAGCTGTTTTCAAGACTGGAAAATGAATTCCATACGAATTGCACTTTACAGTGTGGGAGAACTTCCAGTTTTAAAATCTACACTGCAGCAACATCCCCTCCCCATTTCATGACACCACGCCAAAGTGGAATGGAACCTGAACCAGTTGACAAAGAGAAGGGAAATACCAAGCGAGGGAAGATGTTGGCTTATGCTAGAAGACAGCAAAAAGCCTGGGGATAGAATATTGAGATGGGAAATGTAGGAAGATTGGGTGCTTGTACTGTGAGGGAGAAACACAGATTGTAAATAAAAGGTTTCATGGTGGAGGCTTAGAGGTTAGTGAGAAACTTGGAATGAGGAAGGAATGAGAAAGGATAATTTTCAAAGGATATCAAAGGATAATTTTTTTTGAAGCTAAATAAAGGGAAACCTGTACATGTAAGATATTTGACTTCCTAAAGGCATTTAATAAGGTACCACACATCAGGCTACTTAATGAGTCCACAGTGTGTGAGGTAGTATGTTAGCATAGATAGAGAAACTTGGACAATAAGCAGAGTTAGGATAAGGGAAGGATTTTCAGATGGCAACTAGTGGAGTGGCACTATTAAGTTTGGGAATGACATAAAAAGTAGTTGGGAAGATGAGTGGTGATGATGACAGAGTCCACAAGTTGGTGAAAACTTGGCAGCTGAAATAGAAATGTGGGAAAATGTGTGGTTATGCACTTTGGTACAAAGATGAGGCATTGAATATTATATAAATGGGGAAAGACACCAGAAAGCTGTACACAAAAGGTATCTGGGGGTCCTTGTACATAAATGACAAAACAAAAATCAAGTTCAGCAGGTAATAGTAAAGGTAAATGGAATGTTGGCCTTTATTCCAAAGGCAATGGAGTGTAAAATAGGAAAATCTTGCTCTCCAATCACTTCTGATGCAGGAAGCCAGATTTGGTGACTGATGGCTAAACAATTTACGTAGCAAATCTGCTCCATTTAAACCTGCGTGAATGGGGCAGATTAATGGAAGAGTATCCATGAAAGAAAATAAATAAAAATGGCAAGATTTGTTGATAGAGGGGAGTGGACACGACAGGAGGACTGACAGAAAATTAAGAGATGGAAATAATGGACAAAGAAGAGGTAAAACAAAAGTTGCAGAGGCTATTTGGTGACAGTTCTTCAATTGAAATGACCTACTCTGATGTTATTCATTTTCATACAGCCTTCCACACTCTTGCATCTCAAAAAGCTTAAAATAACCTTAACTCTTTCTTTTAGGGTTTCAATTCTCTGATCTGAGCAAGGACATCAAGAACTTGACGCCTTGGTTGTTTTCTCAATACTCCTGCTAGATTTGCACAATAGAATTCAATTCTCACTTAGTTTCTTTTTTTGTTTTGTTACTTTGAAGCCACTGATACTGTACTGGTGCTGTCAGCAACAAGACTGGAATTTTCAAACCTGGCATGCTAATAGCAATTACTCAAGATTCATAAGTCAAGAGACACATGAATTCTCTTGTTGGTGTCATAGGCTTTAAATCCAGAAATAGTAAATCCTCTTCCAAGCCCAATTTAGAAACGGGGTCATGATTCTGCCTGAACTCTTGTACCATCACACATACACAACAAAATGTTATTGAAACATTAAAAATAAACTATGAAGTAAAAACTAACTACATTTTCACAACCACCAGTGGATGAAGATGCAGCATGTTCAGGAGGTTGAAGTTTGGATGGCTGGAAAAAAGAACAACTTTAAATGTGACTAAAGAGAATATTACAAGACATGGACATCATAAAACTTGGTAATTTCATGAGATTCTGCTGTCAATGCACAGTGTTGCTGGACATTATCATGAGTCAGACATTGCTTCAATATTCTGACTCCATGTAGCTTGAATGGACTACAGGAAATTATCCTGGTGTCATCATAAAAATATATGCAAACAAAATAATAAATTAAATTGCACAAAAGACATACACAGTAATAAAATTGATTGTGCTGGGGTGTTCAAAATGGACAGATACTTAAAAAAGACAAATTGGTGTCACATGGTCAACTTCAAGTAGGCTAATAATTTGGAAGGAAAGAGATTTGGGACGACTACTCAAAATACAATTAAAAGCTAGATAGCGATACTGCACTCAAATTTGTTTTTAAAAATCTTTCAAACATTGAGATTGCAGTCAGAAAGCACGACAGAATTTTATTCATGGGAGAAATATTTAGTTTTCACAAAAGGTTGGTAATTAATTTGAAGCTACTGTTTAAAGATAAATCACCAAATAAACTCACCAAGGAACAAAAGGAATTTGAGTAGCTCACAATAATTAGTTTTCTAAACAAGTTCCATGGCAATCAATGAAATTGTTCATGTTGGAATTTCTACAGCTCCACAAGCTATAAAATTGGCCTCAATGTTTGCTCTAAGCTGAGGGGTCCAATCTACCTGACTTGTTAAGTCTCAAAAATATGAGCAAGTGAAACTAACATTTTATAGAGAAACACAAGTAGTATTTGCCACTAACAGGATGTTGCTATCAAGCCAAAAATACTCTGCCAACCACATAAATGAACAATGTATTTTATCAATGTCAGTGCTGCTGAGATGTCAGGTTTCCAGGCCATATGTCCCAATGACTGACTGGGTGGATCATTCTAAACTGCATGCCTCTTTGGTTGTTCACAGACATTAATTGCAAAATCAAGAACTTAGAATCAAACCCATTGTTGGAACCTAAGTTCAAAAGCACTTACTCAATGCCAAGAGTGTGAAGAGATAAATTACAAGCAACTATTATATAATATTACATATTTATATAATGATTTAGAAGAGAATTTAGGAGATATGATTACTAAGTTTGTGGATGACACCAAGATTAGCGAACAGTGAAGGAAATTATCTGAGAGTGCAGTGAAATTGTGATCAACTGGGCCAGTGGGCTGAAGTATGGCACATGGAATTAATTTAGATAAGTGCAAGATGTTGCATTTTGGTAAGGGAAATCAGGGCAGGACTTACACAGACAATGGCAGGGCCCTGGGGAATGTTACAAAACAAAGATCTAATGTTACAGGTTCTTAGTACCTTGAAAATGGAGTTATAGGTAGGTGGTGAAGGTAGCTTTCAGCATGCTTGTTTCATTGGTCACAGCATTGAGTGTAGGAGTTGGGAGGTCTTGTTGCAGCCGTACAAGACGTTGGTGTGGCAACATTTGGAGTACTGTATGCAGTTTTGGTTGCCCTACTATAGAAAGGATACTGTTAAACTAGAAAGAGTGCAGAAAAGATTTGCTAGGGTGTTACCTGGGCTATAAGGTTTGAGTTATAAAGGAGAAGTTGGGTAGGCTGGGACTTTTCTCCCTAGAGCATTAGGAGATTGAGGGGTGATCGTATAGAGGTCTATAAAATAATGAGAAGCACACGTAAGCTAGATAGCTGACAGCTTTTCTCCATAGTAGGGGAGTCTAAAACTAGAGGGCATAGGTTTAAGGGGAGAGATACAAAAGTGTCTGGGGTCAATTTTTTTTTTTTTTTTAAATATACACACAGAGGTTGGTGAGTGCCTGGAACAGGCTGCCAGAGGTAGTGGTGGAAGCGAGTACAATTTTGTAATGAGAAACATTTAGACATACATGGATGAGATAGGTGTGGAACGATATGGACCAAAAGCAGGCAAATGGGACTAGCTTAAGTAGTGAAATATGAGCAGGATGGGCAGTCGAAGGGCCTGTTCTCATGGTGTAGACCTCTGTGAATCTCTAACTCAAGATCACCTATCAGGCTTGTGGTATGCTTCACTTGCGCTTGCTACAGTTGGAGCAACAGCAGGACAAGAGCATTTGTGGTTTGTTTAATACAGCTGCAAATTAATTTGAAATTTTTTTTCAAGATAAACTATGTTAAGGCCCAACAAGCAACCCCAATAAATGACTATGAATTGCTTAAAAATTAAATAGAAACTGAGTTATTTAACACAAAGTAATCAGTTTTGAGGAAATTTGAAAAAAATATAAATTGATAAAGCTTTAATGATGATGTGCACATTCGTGACTGTGTGCCCAAACAAAGTTTAAATTTTAGACTTTCCTCAAAGACGCCTGCAAACGATTGCAATCAACAGAAACTCTGAATGATGAGTATTTCATTCTGAGGCAGCAACTTACTTCGCTGGCATGGTCAGGTTCCAGTGCGATGTTTTTAAATCAATCAGCCAAAACATCCTAGAAACTACAGTTGCACATAATTTGGGCTTAAAAGTTCCAAAACCTTTCATGGGTTGTGCCGACTTTGGATAGATTGCTTTGTAGAAAATCAACCCGAGCTGAACAAGTGTATATGCTTCCAGCTACTTAACTCTCAACTGACATTAATCACAATTATTTTGATCAGTCTACTTACAAATACATTTCTGGGTGCAGGAGTTGGAACAGCTGGTGTGGTTCCTCCAACAGAAGCAGCAGTTTGGTATGCAGGTGCTGCTGGAATATTAGGTGCACTGGGTTCTCTGGCTATGCTCTGTTGTAAATCCCTGACAGAGAACAAAGAAGTATGAACCTGAATGTCTAAGTTTGTCTTTTTTGTCACAAGAGTTCAGTCACATTCACAACTGCGTAAAACCAGATTCAGGTAAAGAGAAAATAAGGGAGTGCAGGGATCTGTGTGGGATGTCTCGAAATCATGATGTTACCAAATGTTTTAGAGCTACTTCATTCCTTATATGACATTGGATAGAATTTGCTGCCAATCCAATTTGCAGTAGGACATCCAGCTTCTGGAATTTGTTCCATCATTCAATCAAGTCAAGACTGATCTGCATTTTAACTTTGGCTCTATATAACTGTTTCTATCCTCTTCTACCAAAAAACAACTGAGTTAGAAACATTAATTGAGGTAGCATGCACTGTTTTGTCCTACATCCATAGACATTCCTCTGTTCATTATCGAGTTAATTCAGCATGAAACAATCAGATTTCCTCCTCTGAGCTACTCGTAACAATCCCTTAATGACTTTCTCTCAGTTCAGATTTCTCTACATCCTCTGTAACTGGATCCTTGACTTCCTGACCGATAGACCACAATCGGTAAGAATAGGTGACAACAGCTCCTCTACCATAATCTTCAACACCAGTGCCCCGCAAGGCTGTGTACTCAGCCCCCTATTATACTTGTTTTATACACTCATGGCTGTGTTACCAAATTCCACCCCAACTCCATCTATAAGTTGGTAACAACACCACTGTTGTAGGTCTGATCTCAAACAACGACGAGACAGATTGCAGGAAAGAGACAGTGCTTAGCAGCATGGTGTAAAGACAACAATCTCTCCATCAACGTCTACAAAATGAAGGAACTGGTCATTGACTTCAGGAAGCCGAGTATAGGGCACGCCCCCATCTGCATCAATGGTGCTAAGGTGGAGATGGCCGAGAGCGTCAAGTTCCTGAGAGTAATGATCACTAACAATCTATCTTGAACCACCCATGTCAATGCAACAGCCAAGAAAGCACAATGTCTCCACTTTCTCAGGAATCTAAAGGAAATTCGGCACATGCACAAGACTTACCAATTTTTACAGATGCACCATAGAAAGCACCTTACCCGGATACATCAGTGTCGCTACGCAGTTGCTCTTCCCAAGATATAGGGTACCTACATCCAAGACACAAACCACACCCTCCACCTCTTTGATAACTTCAAGTTCCCTGACCCCCAGCGCTTCATCTTTACTATGGACATTCAATCCCTTTACATGCCCAACAAGGACAGCCTACAGGCCCTCAGGTTTTTCCTCTCCAACAGACCCATCCAGTCCCCCGCCTCCAGTACCCTACTTCACCTCGCTGAACTAGTTCTCACTCTCAATAACTTTTCCTTTAATTCTTCCCACTTTCTCCAAATCCACGGGGTTGCCATGGGCACTCACATGGGCCCCAGCTATGCCTGCCTGTTTGCTGGTTATGTTGACCAGTCCCTCTTCAGTACGTATATCGGTACTGTTCCCTCAACTCTTTCACTGTTACATTGATGACTGCATCAGTGCTGCATCCTGTGCCCAGACCAAACTGGAGCAGTTCATTGACTTCGCTAACAACTTCCACCCCACCCTCAAATTCACTTGGTCTATCTCAGACACCTCCCTCCTCTTTCTTGACCCGTTTCCATTTCTAGCAACAATTTACATACCAACATTTACGATAAACTGAGACTCCCAAAGCTACCTATACAACAACTCCTCCCATCCTGTATCCTGCAAAAACTCCATCCCGTTTTCCAATTCCTCCGTCTCTGCTCTGACGAGGAGGCGCTCCACTCCCAAGCATTCCAGATATCTGCCTTTTTCAAACAACACTCTTCCCTTCCCCATCCCCATTATCTCGACTGCCCTCCAGCACGCTTCCTCCATTCCCTGCTCCACAGCTCTCAACCACCATCCACTCTGAAAACATAAGAAAGATTGGGTCCCCCTTGTCCTCACTTTCCATCCCACCACCCTCCGCATCCAACGTATCATCCTCAAATACTTCTGCTAACTCCAATTAGACCCCACCACCTGGAACATCTGCTACTCCCTACCCCTCTCTGCCTTCCGCAAGGACCGTTCCCTTTGCCGCTCCTTAGTTCGCACCCACTCCCCACTAACCACTCCAGCCCGTTCAGTACCTTCCCTGTAACCATAAAATATGCAATACCTGCCCACACACCATGTCCCTCTCCTCCATCCAGGGCCCTAAACAGCCCTTCCATCTGAGACAGAGCTTCTCCTGAATCTCCTCCAACCTGGTCTATTGCATCCCGATATGGTCTTCTGTATGTCGGTAAGACCAAACATAGACTAGGTGACTGGTTCGCCGAGCATCCCTACCTGGCCCCTAACAGCCAACCTAACCTCCTGGTCACTCAATTTCAACTCCCTGCCCCAATCCCCCTCCAACATGTCCGTCCTTGGCCTCCTCCAGTGTTGCAGCGACTTGGAATGCAAATTTGAAGACCACCACTTTATCTTCCATCTGGGCACCCTACAGCCTGGAGAGGTCAACCTCAAAGTTTTCCAATTTCAAATAACCTTCCTACCCTTCCCTGCCTCCCTTTCCAGTCCCACCTCCTCCCTTCCATTCCACCTTCTGACCCTCCTTTCCAGCAACCAACCGGATTTATCCCCCCCATCGACCAACCAGGTCGTACCCGTCACCAGTCTTCACCTATCACCAGTATTCCACCTCCATCCCTCCCCCCACCTTTATCACCGTACCCCCACATCCAGTCCTGAAGGGTAATACTCAAAACGTTGAGTGCTCCTTTCTGGCAGATGCTGCCTAGCCTATGCTCTTCCAGCCTCCTGTTTGTCTACCTTGGATTCCAGCATCTGCAGTTTTTTTGTCTCCACTCATGAGCAGATTCAAGATCAGCTTCTTCCTTACTGCTTTAACACTTTTGAACAGACCCTTCAAATGTTAATTCTGATCTCTTTGCACCTTCTCTGTCGCTGTAGCACTTTTCTGCACTGTTCTGCTACCCTGGTGCACTTTGTATGGCACAATCTGTCTGTATAGAACACAAAACAACACTTTTCACTGTATCTTGGTACACGTGACAACATTAAATTATTGTCCTTTATTGCAGATTGCAATAACTTGCTAGATCAAATGCTAGACTAACAAGTCTATAGTTAACTGGTTTCTCACTAACTATTATTTAAGAA